GGTGCCATCCTGGGGCTGCTAGACTGTGCCTAGGCAGCCGCAGGGTGGGCTGGAGTCCCAGGGCTGGCACTCCCACTGCAAAGTGCCCTCCCCCCACTCCTGTGACCAGCGTGGGTCTTTCTGTACCCACTGTGGCTCCAATGTCACAAGTGTGGTGAGGAGGTGACAGAGGCATGAGAAGAGGAGCTCCCCCTGGATAAACAGTACCCTGGTGGTGCCTCAGGCCCTCCTTCTTGTGAGCAGGGGCAACAGACATAGCCAAAATCAGGTATCTGTGTCTTTTGCAGGGTGGGGGAAGCATGGAGGCAGTCCTTGTCTCGTGCTCTTTCTGCACTCACCAGATGCCCATCCAAGTTCAGACACTTCTGGGCAACCACATCGAGTGTTGTCCTTGCAATACAATCTTGTACCTGCATATTTAGCGGGAAGTGGGAAGGATGCCCTACTATCTGCAGCAGGGCTTATCCCTTCAAGAAGCATGCATGGGATTGCACCCTTGTGTCATTATAATCAGTTGTACTTAAGGATATGACTTTACTCTTAAGCCTTGCTACTCTTAAGCCTTACGTATTCCACGGGAAGCAGCTGTGATTAACTTCTGCTCACTATTTCACAGTGTAGTTTTTCTGCCTCCCCGAACTATAAACATTTCTCTCCTACCTGAAGCAAATATTTACCCTTTAGACTTGTGCACCACAGACACTAACTATAAACCAAATGCATTTTCAAGTGCTTTGTTTTAGCAGATTATAGATCTGCCAATAGCACATTTTGGATTTGTTTTTTAAGATAGGCAGGAAATACGTTTTACAATCCAAACCATCCCAAGTTGTTAATGCCACCTCCTTGTATTTAGGATATAGAACTAATGACTTCCATCACTCTTGATAGCCCTGTTCATTAAATCTGAAATCACAATGCAAGATACACAAAATAAGCAGAAGCAAGCTATCACTTTAAATTTGCATTGTCTACTTGCTCTGTTGTCTCCCAGCCCCTGCTCACCTACCACCTTTAGATGCCCTGTATGCATTTCTGCATTATCAAGGAGTGCTACCATCTAGTCCATTCTCAGAGAAGAAAATTAATTTGGGAGCCTCACTGAACAACTAGGGTTGTTTATTATGTTTTTCACAATGGCAGCATGTTGCTAGTGTTGTTTCAATTCCTTTGGGAGTGTAGACACATCCATTATTACCATACTAGCCTGCCTTTTTTCCTGCCGCAAACCCAAGACAGCTTACATAATTCCTCCTCTCCAGCTTATCCTCACGACAGGGAGGTAGCTTATGCTGAGAGTTAGTGACTGGCCTAAAGTCACCCCATGACCTTCCCGGTCAGGTGAGAACTAGAACCTGGACGTCCCAGGTGCCCGTCCAGCACTCGGACCACTGCGCCACACTGGCTTTCCATGCATGTCCTTGCACAATAAGATCGAACAGGAGGAGTGCTCGTTCCTGTGCTACTCCACAGTCAGAGTTGTATCATAAGCAAGTCGCACCATGCGTACCACCAGATACCACTGCCGTGCTGGCCATCTCTGGCTCCGCCAAGCGCAATGGAAGAGTCCCAGAACCACTGCACAGTCTCAGCTGGGGCTCACTGCCCTGGTAGCATCCAGTCAAACCAGCTCCTCTGAGTGCCAGTGCTGGAAGCACTAAGCATGACCAAGATGGCAAGTTATTGTGGGTTCTGTTCCAGGATGTTAATACCGTTACTTTGTGTTGCTGGCCATGGGCCACAAAGCACTGCTACTTCCCCTTGAAAGCTTCTGCTTCTTTTACCCTCACTCAGATCAGAGGGTACGCTCCAATTTTCATGCGGTTTCTGCACAAGGCATTTATTGTGCAAGTGTCATGCCCTACTCACAGTTGCTTCTGGGGTTTTTTAGACACCATCACGACCCTCTGTAGTATCACTTCTGTTTCTAACCAGCATTTTGGCGAGTTTCCTAGAGCAGAAAAATGTAGCATTTAATTGTCAAAGTGAAGGAAGGTGCCATTTCCCCTTGTGTACATGTGCTGATCTGCCACAATGCCATCTAGAGGGTATGTCATAGAAAAACAGAAAAGACTCCTTGCTTGGTACTTGGATCTCAGTTCTCCAACAAAACTGGAAGAAGATACAGCCAGATAACAGTTTTGTACAGAAAAACACAAGGATTCATGGCCCTTGTGCCTTCATGGCAGAGAATTCATTACCTCATCAGGAATTGCCTATTTGAAAGTACTACCTCTCATGTTAAAATCTTCATGTCAGGCAGACAGCAGGGAGATTTTGAAAGGGTTGCTTTCAAATAAGCATTTCCCTCATGCATTCCATGGCGGTACAGTCCTGCAGCAGACTGTACCACCTGCCTGCCTGCCTGAACATTTGAGCAGGGCCTTGCCACAGAAGTGGCTGGCCTTGCGGTGCTATCTCCCGGCTGGAGCCCAGGCGTTCCTCTGTGTGTCTTGCTCCCCTCCTGCGGGGACAGTGCTCCGTTGACTGCCTTATTAGTACAGAACACTGCAGCTTAATTGTTAAATGAACCTGACTTAATGTTTACACTGGGAAGCTTTTCTCTGTGATTGTCAAAGGTGGGTGGCAGGTGCCTTGCAGATGCCCCTTCCACTGCTCAGGCCAGAAGCCTTTCGATTGGTCTCACGGTGAGGAAGAAAGGGGTGAGGTTTTAATTATTCTCCAGCACATTCCGCAGTCTGTTGCTCCGGGAGGGAAGTGGCTCTTTGAGCCGTTTGACCTTTCGCACTTGAGGCCTGAACAAAGGTGGGTTGCTACGGCTGTGGCCCACAGCTGCCTTTGGCCTGCACCTTCTCCCACTGGAATGGAAGAATCTGTTATGTGCCAAGGCCAGGAGGGGCGGAGGGCCATCTCAACCATCTGCTGCCCGGTGGAGGGCACAGTACTGATATTCCTCGCTGGTCAGAAGATGGAACCTGGGCCAAGAAGTATTCAGTAGGGTTTGTTTGTTTACAAGGGCTTGGATCCAGGATCTGCCTTCTGAAAAGAAAAAAAAGGGGGGTGCCACTTGCAGAAGGGCTCCCTGCCTGGTTTTTGGGGAACCCCCTCCCAACACACACGCACAAGCGCACGTATGTTACCACAGCTCACTCCGTTCAGCAGTGTCTGAAGGGGCTGCCTTGGGAAGGAGGGAGCAGGAAAGCCCATTTCTAATACCACAGTTGATCTGGCAGAAATTCGGATCCAACCTATTAAGCAAAGCTAGGAAGTGACGAGGCTGAGAAGCAAGCAGAGGCCAAGGTGTGATTACGTGCTAAGAAAATATATATGTATACAAAATAATAATAGTACAGATCATTTTGTGAAAGTAAAGATCATTCCAACTGTGGAGAATGCAAAGAAGTCCTTTGTGCACTCATTATTCCCTGAATGTGATCTACTGGGCTCTGAAAAGGAGCTTGTTTACACTCCTCCCCCGCTCCACCCGCCTCAGTCTGTATATGTATATATAGCCAAACCAGGGTCCAGATTTTTTTTAATTCGTTACACATTGATTTCTGGAAAGACTGTCTCTTCCTTTCATCGGATACTGTTTATACTTTCCACCCCCTTTGTGATTCAATGGATGTCTATGGTATTTATTAATCACCAAAAAGAAGAAATTCATTTCTTGGTTGGTTGATTCCTGCAGATTCTGTTGTTTGTTTTTAAACTGATTTATACTGGAAATAGACAGTTTATTCCTTCTTCCTTGAAGGGCTTAATTGGATGAGTGGCTTGTTTTCTTGTGTGGTCAGTTCAGCGCAGAAGAGGGTGTGCAGTCGAATGAAAGCCCCGTCACAGACACACACAGCTGAGTCCATATTTCTGAAGACGGGATCCTGAAAGGAGGCTTCTGGCACATCTAACCATTTAACCCTGGTACTGTCCTTCCAGGCTTCTTGTATACTGATGGCCTCCCACCTCTCCAAAGTAACAGCAAAACGTATGGGCAGATTTCCTGGACTATGATGTCAGTGTGGACAAGTTATTTAATTACAGTTACCCAGTTTGGAGAAGAAAGTAGGTGCTATGCCCAGAGGAGCTGCTTCCCTCTGGCAGCTTTGCATTCCTCTTGGGCGAGGAAAGAATTCACTAAACTCCTCAACACATAGGGAGAGATGTGTGCCAAAAAAGTGGGGGTACACTGAACAAGGGGTGAAGTGTCTGTGTCTCTCATGCCTTCCTGGTGTTTGCTGTGTTGCTTCTGACAGCTGGCATCTTAGCATTGCCTTGAAGCGCAGAATGTTCTTGGGAGTTGTAGTTAACTTGCAAATCTGCAGAGCAGTTCTTTGATTGTACATGTGGTGGCCTAGACTATGGAGAGCATTTGTTTTGGTTACTTCATTATATTTTTCCATCCCTTCCTCCTTCCCGCTGCTTTGTTGGTAGGGGGGACTGAAAGGTCCATGGGCTTCCTTCCTAGCCGTGTAAAATTGTACCATGAAAGCAACAGATTTGGAAATAAAATATAAAATACAGTGTGTCTCCCTCATGTGCATACCAGCTGACTTCTTTAACACTCATTTCTTTCAGCTTTATCAAAATGACAATGTATGCTAGGGATTCCTGTATGATGGATCACGCTATACTAAAGAAAGTTAAAAATGCTTTATGATGGTGATAGGGAAATTAAAAATCTGGCTTTCTCCAGAAAAATGGTATCTCCTTAAAGAAGATGAACTGCTGTAGGTATTCATCCTTCCAAAGAAGAGAAAAGTCATGGTTTATTTGGCCAACCTGGAATTGGTTTATGGGGTTCTCGGTCATTAATCTCAACAAGAAGCCTTAAACTAAGCCTAAAATCAAACTGTCCCTCTTACAGGGCTTGGAAGGAGGGATGCATTGTAGGCTGCCTTCAGAAAGAATAGGGAAAAAATAAAAGCAAGATCCCATCACATAAATCTATGTCTTAGAATGATGACTAACCACCCTGAAGTCTTCCTTCAGTCCTCCTGCTTATCTTTTTTTCTTTCTTTTTTCTTTGCTCAACAGGCAGAGTGCGGCTTTGGCAGCACATATACTAAAATTGGAATGATACAGAGAAGATAAGCATGGCCACTGCGCAAGGTTGACACACTTATCAGTATAGGATTGTATAAGACCTGTTCTGTCAGTACAGAATCCTACAAAGCTTAGCTTTCTTATCACAATAGGATTGCATTGTAAGTTGAATATTTATTGAGCTATTGATTACTCCAAGGTTGGCCAAAGGTTTTTGTGCCCTCTGTCAAAGAGCTATATTTATACCTATCACAATATTAATTGCAAGAAATAAAAGTATTCTATTCATGAGTAAGACTAACTCCAATACTCATTTGAGAGCACAATCAACTACCATGTCAGACTGCTATGAATCCAGTAATCCCATTAAAATGTGCTAATAGTTTGTACCCATCCTCACCCTTGAGCAGGGAAAGACTGTGGTTTCTCTGCAGACTTGGGCACTGTCTGGGTGTGTGCAGGGCCAGCATCGAAGGCAGGCCTGGCTGGGCACCTGCCAAGGGTCCCCCCCCCACCCCACGATTTATATCCTGCCTTTTTCCTACAAGGGGCTCAAGGCAGCTTACATCATTCTCCTCCATCTTATCCCCACAACAAGAACCCTGTGAGGCAGGTTGGGCTGAGAGTCTGTGACTGGCCCAAAGTCACCCAGTTGGCTCCATGGCCGAGTGGGGACTCAAACCCAGGTTGCCTGAGTCCCAGTCTCACATTCTTAACCACTACGCTCCCAAGCAGGAGCCCCCTGGAACTCCCTAGAATCGCCTCTCCTCTTTCCTGTCACAGCCTGCTTGTTTGCCTGCGTCTTGCCCTGGCACAGACAAAGGTGGTGGTGAGAAGCGGGACCAGGGGATTCCTCTGCCTCCTTGCTTACTGGCACTCTGTCTGTTGAGCGAGCGAGCGAGCGAGCGAGCAAGCAAGTTACAACAGCAATTCCAAGAAAGGGGAGCAGTGATTGCAGCTGGTGACAATGGTGGTGTTAATAGCATATCTGGAATTGTCTTGGCTGTGCCTGGCCCATGCATTAAGCAGCTGTGCATGGTCAGTCCCCAAACACTCATTTCCCAGAAGACAAACAGGTGAGACAACGAAGAGGCAGGGACTGCGCTCCAAGATACAAGACTCTTCTTTTGAGCCCAAATAAAGATGGTGCACTTTGCTTTGCAGCAAGCCAGGCTCACAGGTAATAAATAAATCGTAAGAAATAAAATTAAAAGGAGCAGCAAGAAGAATAAAATTAAATGCATCAGCAAGGAGCTTGCCATGCACTAAGAAGGATGTGCAAGCTCCTCTTGAGCATCAAGTTAGAGACCCCAGGGGCTGCCTTAGAGTGTGCACCTTTAAGAGGTGCGCATCAAAGACCTTTCAAATGCTGGAGTGTGTGCATTGGTGGGTGAGGAACTGGGAATGTAAGGTGATAAAAGATTGCGATTGTATGGGAAGCAGAGACTGGAGGGTACTCTGAAACAAGGACCACGGGCTGCGTGCTGTGACATGGTACTAGGCACGGTCCCTTAAAGTGAGGACACACCTTGAAGAAAAGGACATCTAGCAACAGTCATGCTGGTGTGTATAAGAGAGGGAAGGTTTAACCTGCAGTCCTGCATTGGGCAGGGGTTGGACCCCCCCCCCCCCCCCCGTGGCCTTCTTAGCCTCTTCCAGAGCTCATATTCTGGGATTTTATGATTCCATGAAATCCAGGGCAGTCGAGTTAGAGAATCAGATGAAGCTATGGTTTTCTTGGTGAAACCCCATGAATTTCATGGCTATTCTGGGAAAACTAACGTGGGACAGAAGTCACCAATGTGGATTGTCAGAATGCATCCCAGGGATACAGAACAGAACATACCTCCAAGCACACATTGGAAGCATGAGAGAGAAGCAGAAGGACACCTTTTGACCACAGATATACAAACATGTTGACGAAAGCCAGATTGCAAAGGTTGTTAAAATATTACAGATTCCTAGGAAACATCTTGAAATGTGAAATAGCTGTTAGCCAAATAAGAATCTCTAGGAGACTAACTGGAGCAGGGTGTCTTCTCCGCATAATTTACAGCTTGTTCTGAGCATCAGTTCCAATTATTTCAATGGAGTTTACTCCTAAATAAGTGCACATAGGATTGAAAACATGCAGAGCAATCCTATGCATGCCTACTTAATTCCTATAGAGTTTGATGGGGCTTACTCTAAGCTATGTATGTGTACACAATAGAGCCTCAAACATCATGTATTTAAGTATTCATTCAATTTTAAACATTCATGCATTCATTTCATTTCTAGCTTGCTCTTTTAGCCTCATGGCTCCCTGGGCAGGTTACAACAATAAAACCATATAAAACAGTATAAAAGTGCAAAAAGTCAATTTACAATAAAAAAGTAAGACAATCAAAATGCACCCAATTTAACAGATTTCTTTACTGATTCATTATATCTTAAGTTCTGTGCCCAGTATGATTAGTGGCCAATTATGTTTTGAAAAATCTAAAAATAGCCCTTGGAGCACGTTACCTGGGAAAAAACCCAACTTTGCTCAGCTGTGGAATTTTCAGGGATCTGTTTGTGCTCTTTTTGCAGCATAATCCTGCATACTTTCCCAGAAGCTGCATGTAATGGAGGCTTGTTCTGAGTTGCTGTGTAGAACATTGTATTGTTGGCAGAGCAGAATGGTGTTTTCCTCTGACAGGCAAAAAAAGGGATGAATATATGGAGCAACTCCTTGGATCCATGAGAGAGATCATAAGCTTACCAGAAGATGTACTGATGGCTACCAACTTGGGTGGCTTTAGATGGACGGCTTGCATGGAGAATAAGGCCACCGCTGGGCACAGGTCCAAGGGGCCACACGCAGTATCAGAGGCAAACTGCTGGGGGACGCAAGTGGGAGGGTGCAGTTGCTCCAGCGGGAATCTTCACATTCCACCTTCCATTCCACCCCAGCCCTGAACCTTCTTAAAGCTTGTTTTCTTCCTCCTACTCTAAAGCTTGGCGCAAGAAAACAGTAAGGCAAAGGAGACACTGTGAGAGCACCAGTGAAGATAAGACTGAAGGACAATTGATTTTCCTTCATTAATCACTCCCTTTACAGCTTAATTAAGGGGCTGAGTCCCCCTTGTTAAAATGGCAAACCTAGCCTACACTGTGCAGAGCAAACAGATACGGAAAACTAAGAATAACTTAATGGGAATCCGATAACCGTCTCAGGGTAGACAAATGGGAAGAGTGGAAGAACAAAGCCTAAAGCCTCTCCTGGCTCTGCCGTTAGTGCAACAGTAGTAGCTGCCTCCTTCAGCAGTGGGGTTGGGTGCGGATCCTGCAAACACTAGAAAAGAACTACACAGGCATGTTGAATTTGTGTACTGTTATCATCTAGTTTGGTGAACTTGAGTTGCCACAAGACAGTAACACAGCATCAGTTTTGTGCCTATGTTTTAAATGAGGAAAGCCTTGTAAGAGTATGGTAGACTTAAAAAGGTGCAGTTGGGTCTCCTGAGGGCTAGCATCACAGTTGGACATGTGGCAAGGGCATCCTGGCAAGAACCCCTGATTTTGTGTCTTCTGTTCATAACACCTTCCTTGTTGATCTGCATCTGTTCATCCAGCCCAGATAATGGTGAGAATGGGAAGGCGAAGCCACTGGCAGCTCACTCCTGGGCTTTGCCTGCCCAGTAAGTAAGTGGCAGCAACTATTAGAACGAGGATGAGGAGCAAGGACAGCTGGGAAGAAGGTGGACTCATTGTGGGATGGGGACCATTGAGGATGTCTTGGCCCAAGGCGCCTGGAAACCTGAACTGGGCACTGACTGGAATCGTCATAAGTCAAGGGGTCAAAGGTGTCAGGAAACAGTTTCTAATAGAAAGGAATGTTGGGGCTTCTCACATGCGAGGGCTGGCCACCATATGGATTGCCTGCATGCATGGAGAGCAAGTTTCTGAGCTGCCATGGGCCCCTGTGATTTTTCTTCTTTCATGGTCAGCTTGAAAATAGGCTGCTGATTTTCTGGAGACCACCATTTACAAATCACCTGAGCTATTAGCAACAGGGGAGAGGGAGAAATGCCAGATACAGGAAAAGGACTACTTTACATCCACCCCTTCCTACCCTCATGTCAGCAAAATTGGAAACACACACCCACACACACCCACTGCAGGAGAGAAAAACACATACCAGGTGACGTACTTCTGGGTGCCTGTATCAAGTCTGCCTTGGTCCTGATATGCCCATTATCTGGAGGCTGAGACGAGCTCAGACAGGACCAGCCCTTCCGTTACGCAGAGCGAGGCATCCACTTCAGGCAGCAGATGCTGGGAGGTGGCAGAAACCAGTTGAAGGAGTAACCTGTGCCCTTGCAGCCTGCAGGGCACACCCCGGATTAGCTTCCTGCCTTCAGGTGCAATGGGAGATGCTGCCAGTCCAGCAGCGTCCGTACGTGGAGTGGGAGGGGATGCCACTTTGTTCTTTGTCCTGAGCAGCAAGCCAACTCAGGCTGTCCCGGGCTCTGCTCCGGGACGCCCAGCAGCAGGCGTATGGCAATTGCCTCTCGAAAAACCCAGTGACCCAAGAATCAGTAGGGGCTGCTGCTTAATGACAAGGCAGGTGAGGAAGGAGTGGCGTGACAAAGATCACAGTCAGGTATTAATAGCAAGCAGAGCAGAGTAGAGCAGGCAGCTTGAGACGGTCCAGCTGCTGCAGCCACCCACATTGCCAGTTCAGCTGCCCCGCGGCACATTTCAGGTAAGGGATGTGGATTTCTGGGGCTTCCTTTTCTAGCTTTCCTGTTGGGAGTTAAAAGGCCATGGAGAGAAGGCTGAGCTATAGCTTAGAGACAGGGACAGGGTGGGTGGGGGGAGAGATTAAAGGTCATCTGAGTGGCACAGCTAAGCTGCCCCATTTTTTGCATTTCTGCAAAAAAAAAAAAAAAAATTGCCCAAGCAAAATTTTGCACAAGCCTGCTGATTTCTCCTGAAGGACAGAATGGATTTGGCCCTGGCATGCTTCACCCAATTAAACATGACTACAGTGAGAGAAAAGAAAAACTGTATTTGTATTCTCGAGAATAAAGTCTGATCACAAGCCAAGGGGCAGTTGACCCTGGCAGCATGGTG